CTTTTGGTTTGGCTTGTAGGTGGAGCTGAATACATTCAAACCGCATTTGTGGTTACCTACAAGCAATATGTTATGAAGATGGTGGTATTCAGATGCATACCCAAACAATTTGATTCAGATAAATTGGATAGAAGACTGACCAGCATGAGAAGAACAGGTGAGAACCCTTGAAGAGAAGCTGAAATAATAAGTATTTTATGGTCAGGGAAAATATTTCTCCAGTAACACAAAGATCTTCTATTAGAAACTCAAAATACTAATTACAATCTGCCTAAAGACTTATTATAAATGAAGTGGAGATAGAAACATGTTTATATTATGGGGAGGCTTATTTGCAGATAAGCAGGAAACCAGTCACACATCTTCACAAACATAATTTTAGCTGTTTTAATTAGCAGGTTTGCTTTGATTTAATTTAATTCAGTGATTCCTTCTATCTTTACTGACACATGTGCAAATAAAATGTGCTGACCTGACTTCTGACATCCAGTTTCCTTTTTCATTTCTGTTTTTGTTGTTGTTGATTTCGTCAGTGTTTATGGTGAAATGATGGGGTCAACACTTCCTAACAGCGTGGCCAACAGATGTAGTGTGGGGATGACAACTGTACATTTGAGTGGTCTTTTGTTACCCCAGCACTGACTGATTGCTGAGGTGCTGGAAGCCAGGGTGTCAAAGGCCATCAGAAGTCCTAATAGCCTCTAGATTCCAATTCTATTAAGGGTTGGAATGACAAAAATATGCCTTTTTTTTTTGTAGTTGTGGTAAAAGTGCAGTGAGCTTTTTTTCCTAGAGAATGAGACCCTAGAAAGAAGCCCCAAGTGTGCCTTTAGCAAGTTATTGTAGCGTGTGCATCAACTTTGGGTTGAAAAGCAAGCTTTAAAAGCTGTCAGAAGTCATATATTTAACGTTTGGAGATTTGGTGGTGTTATTTAACAGTGAAAGTAGTTATTGACGGAACAAAAACACGCAGTCCAGAATAAAAATACCACATTAATGTACTGATAGAAAAAATATTCTGTGTTGACTGTGCTAGATTTTTGTTGGGCTGAGTGCATGGAAACTGCTTTTTCTTCTCTCTGTCAGAAAACAATTGCTCGCATACCAGGTGTTGTTCTCCCTTCTCTCTCCACCGCTCCCTTTCACAGTGTCTCACAGCTGTATGATAGGTAATTAAAACAATCACTGAAATGTTTCAAAGCTGCTGTAGCCTTTAGTTGACTTTTAAAATTAGTATTTGAAGAAGAATGGCAAAATTAATTTGTATCTGGCTCAGAAAAGTGTTCCTTACTTGAGCAATGGACTTTACAACATTGCCAACAAGAAGAATTAAATTAATACTATACTTCCTTTATCTCGGGTTATTCTGTTAACTGTTTTATACTGGAAATTAATTTCAATATCATACAGATGTCTAAGAGTCATGAATGCGGCAGTTCTAGCATGCGGTCAGATAGCTCTCCTATTTCATAATCACAGTAAAAATACTAATTCAAATGGAGCAAACTTGCCAGGGCAATCAATTGATTCTGCCCCTAGATAATAGAAAGATGAAGTTTATATTCTTGGGCTGTAAAATATGCAAGATTGAAAAGTGTTATTAAAGAAGTATTATGTGGTTATTTTGAAAAGAACAGTAATTTTACAGGTTCATCTTTCTACTGAGAAAAAATACTTCAGAGACTGAGAAACAGACTTCTGAATAGGCATATTTTTGATGTTGAAATGCTCTTCTGTTTTTCTTCCCTTTGTGTTTCAGTTCCCTGCTTCAGTAGCAGGCTTTAGGAAACTTGTAATTCATTCATTATGGAATGCTTGCTGTATGGAACAGGGTTTTATTCTTAAACTTCCTTGTAATATATTCTTTTTGATCCTTAACCCACCCCCCCCTTTATTTTTACAGATGAATGTATTATGTTGGTGTAAAGTGCGTCCTTTTCGCTCTTTTTGCCCTTCTCCCTTCCTTTTCTGGATTGTCCCTTTTTGGATGTTGGCACTTCCCTGGCATGGGCAGAGTGGTGGCAACTGCTGCATGCAGAAAAGGCAAGTTCAGGAATTTTCAGTATGAGTGGAATTGGTTCAGGCTTCAAAATCACTAATTCAAAGGAAAAAAAAAAAAGGCATGTAGGACGAAAGGTTTTGCATACCCCTCATTGGTCTGTGGGAATCCTTGCCTGGTATGTATGTCAATATGCATATAGAGCAAGAGCTTTTACATGTGTACCTTTGAAAATCTGACAGCTTCCAGGGAACCCAGTGCAAACCAAAAATATCAATACTGACAAATTAAAACAATGACTCATCCCCATTAAGTTTAAAAGAAATACCTATTACTATTTGTGTAAATATTTCCTGTTCATTAAAGACAGCATAATTTCTTCCTCTTTCTTTGCTCCTTTTTGAATAGTTCTAATCACACACAGGTATTGCAAACAAATTTACAGATGTGGATAAAAATAAGACTTAAAGACTCATCTGCATCTTTGTGTCAACACGACTCACTTTGACAGTATATTTTTGCCAGGTGGAACAAAGAGCAATAAATTAGTTTTGAACATTTATGATCTTGAATTATAAAGACTGCAGCAGACTGTTCAAAATCAATTGTCAGAGTGACGGGGGATTAATAACTCTGGTGCTGTAACCTTTTACGTGTCTGCAGATTGGGTGAGGACGCATTTCAAGATCTGCTGCCATATTTCATTATTGCAACTTATATTTGAAAGACCTTTTTGATGCTTAAAAAAAGAAACAGATTAGTTTCTAGTAGAGCTGGATGAATAACTCATAATTAATAATTCATTCGGTGAATTTTGCCTTTTATTCTGTGGGAAGAATAAAAAAAAGTTGTCAAAAATCTTTCATGAGTTCTATTGACTTGGGTTTTTTTGTTTTGAATCAAAACTAGCAATCAGAATTCAGGGTGTGTTACCTATCTGTGATTGAGAAGTCATGTGCTACTGGTTTAATTACATAATTAATTGAGGACAAATACTAAAATAAATTTCATGATTAAATGTTTGAGGAAAGTGTATTTGGAAATACCTTTCTACATGCCTGCAAACTTAAAATCAGGCTTTGAAAGTACTATTGAAAGAAAAATCCAAGTGTGTGATAGTTGTTGGGAAGGAAATGCAAATGAGGCAGGAACATGGCCAAACCAAGTTCATTACAAGACACAAATGAGTTTCTCTAGACTTCTACAGTATTTTCTAGCTGCAGTTTCACTTCATTAGTTCCAGAGCCCATTCTGGGAGAAGGCTACTAAATATTGGGGATAAATATGGAAACAATATAAATAAGGGCTTTATTGAATTTCAATAGCTTCCCAGCTACTGTGTTTTATTTTATGTTAGTGAAATGTTTTATGATAGTTAAACCAAATGAAAAGTTGTCATCTTTTGGCTTTTTTCACCTCTCAGCTGGCAAGTTTGCATCCCACCGATGCGAGCTCTACTGGGCCAAGAAGCCCTCTGTGGATTCTTCAGTATTTTTTTCATATATGCACTTTATTTTGGTTTCTTCCTAAATAGAGCTAAAGCAGTTAAATATTTCCCAGCAAAACACACACATGTAATCTCAAGGGCCGTGCATACCATCGAACTGTCATTTCCTTTGATTAACCTTCACCTGACCTCCCTCCCTAAGGCAGTTTCAGATCCTTTTGTTCCTCCATTTACATATTGCACTCTGTCAGGTGAGTACATCTGTCATTCAAGAGCTGGCCGTTTTACTGGGGAACCCAGTGAAGATGTTGCAATGGAAAACTGTGCAGAAGCTGTCACATACTAGACAACCCGGTCTAATGTGCAAAGCTGGTACCACCCACTGGATGTACCTAGAAATGAAAAGGAAGCAGAGCTTGCATAAAAGCAGTTGAAGATAGCTGAATTTTAAGAGTTTATATTTTTTTTTTTAATAAATATTTAAGATCAGGAAAGGGTCATGACTGAGATCAACAGGACTTTTCTGCTGCAACTTCTTCATGTTGTCAGGAAGTGACAGTTTGTGGAGAATAAATTTGCAACAGGAGTAGATCAGAGTTAATGTGTCACCTCTTTTACAATGGCAGAATTTGCCGTGGCAGTCTACCATTTTGAAACCCAATAGGTTTGTGTCTAATCTCATTGTTTTTATCTACAGCCAGCAAGAAAATAAAAATTAAAAAGGATATATAAAAAAATCTTTAAAATTATTCATTCTTTTAAGTTTCAGTTGATCCAAACTGAACTTTTTGGATGGCAGTTTGCAGGATGTATTGATGTTTCATGTCACAGCTTGGGACAATTTTTTACTTTTTATGTTTGAATCCTAAATATTCATCCAAGGTGAATAATATGGAACTGAGCTATTATGAACCCTTCAGATCACATATTGGGCTGGCAGCAATGCTAAGTAAAGCTTTCATTGAATCCATAACTTCTGTTTATGTAATAGCATATATTTTTGAATGATACTAAAGGCCATGTGTGATGCAGTATCTCTTCATCCCAAAGTAAGCTGGTACAGTGGCTCACTGTGGTTCCTAAGAGCTAAAACTATGCACCTTGAGTCTGGGCTTAATTTGACTGTTGAATCTCATATCTTTTCCTGATAGATTCTGTTATCAGAAGTCATAGCATCATATCATCATTTAAGGGTGAGGATTGACTCACCACTTAAGTCAGTCTCTGATGAACTAAATAGCTTAGACAGGGGGGTTGGAACTAGATGATCTTAAGGTCCTTTCCAACCCTAACGATTCTATGATTCTATTATTCCTTAAGATTTCATCAGGCATACTTCACAGATCTTATATGATTTTTGTAGAGTCTGAGTATGCAGCATTTAATGATTTTTACTGATCACAAGACTCACTGAAAACAGTGAGTTTTAAAATAAGAAAGAATTGTGCTATCAGGTTTCTGTGCTAACATTGAACTCTGGATCCATTCCTTCTGCAAAGAATGTATAATCTACTTTTTAAGCTTTTGTTCATGCTGGCTTTTTTCCCATTCCAGAGGGCAAGTTGCATTTTATATCTCATGTGGAAGCAGACATCGTTACAGATGCAGAGCGGAGATGTCAGTGAGAACTGCCAACATGACCGGGTTGGTAAGTTTGTACTGGCCAGCGGCACCAAGGTCCTGCTCTGGTGTAAACTGGTGTGGCTTGCTCAAGTGTGTTGTGTCTAATACCTAGGGAAGGTCATCATGTACTTCCACAGGGACTGTAAGAATCCCGTTTTCGGAGTAAATGTGACCTGTTACTGTCCCTGTTAAGGTTTTTGTAAACGATTCTCCAGAGCAAGTATTTTCTGTGAAATCTTCCCCAAAACCTATCCGCTCCCCATGAATGTTCTGCAGTGATGGAGATGTGCTCACCTGGTGTACTGAAGAATTTAAATAGAAGAACAAAAAGAAGCTGAAATTGCCTTAGGGATTGAGGTCAGGTGAAGGTTAATCAAAGGAAATGACAGTAAAATGGCATTCATGGCTCTTGGTACGTTTTTAATCATTCCTTTCTCTCTCATAAAATACACAAAAGATGTACAACTTTTTTCCATTGTAATTAGTTGGGATAATTTTTATTTTTGCCTTGATTATTTAAAAATATAATTAGGTTTCTCTCATAGAATTTGCTCCTGAAAACTTGCATTGTAGTGCCTTAAAAATGTGTGTGGGAAATGAAGAATGCAAGTGGGGAAGAAGAATGTTCAGAAAAGGGAATAATTTTCCCCAGAATATCTCTCATTTCATCTTCTTTTTCGAATGTGATAGATTTTGAAGGATTTCTAGAAGTCGTGAGTGTAGGGAATAAATACTCAGAAAAGCTAAATATTCACATTATTACACAAGTGCCAGGATAAATGAAGTCCATGACTGCAACTACTGGAAACAAGAATAGTTTCTTTCAGGTGCTGCTTATCTCCCAGTAATTAGGTTTTAAGTAGAGATGTTTTATTTTAAAAAGTGTCTTAGAATAACCTTCATGATCAGAATAAGATTTGGAAGTCGTGTCTTGGTTTGTGGGCTGTGGGTTATATTCCGATTTTGTGTATGTGAAAAGGCCCCATTTAGGAACCTTTGTTTTCTAAGTTTGGAGTTGTCACTTTATGCTAGTCACCTTAGATAACTTTGACATAACTACAACAGGAACAGGAGCAACTTTATGTAACTTATAACTGCCTGAGGCAACTTTTAAAATATGTGAGCAATGCTTTTTTCTCTTCCCCAAGCCTGTTTACCTGCCTCCCTTCCCCTGTAATGCAGAGAATCCTAAGGGGTATATATTAAACCCAAACAGCTCTCATCTGGGGTGACTTGGCTATAGCAAATGTATTCTCCCTGCTCTTTAGATCATACACTACGAAGTGTATGCATCAAGTACCTTCAGCAATGCAGCTGGGAGCCAAGCTTAGGCGAGACCTTGTGGTATTAAGCCTTTGGAGAGAAGCGGGTGGCTTAAAGAAAACATATTACTGCAGACCCGTGCTACATTATCACCACTGTGAGCTGCAGTAAAAAGAAAAAAGCGATGCTTTACACATACGCTTTTCTCCACATCTCAGGGAGAAATGGGAATAATCTGGAAGTCATTTCTTTGTGTGTCATTGTGCCGTGATTGCTACTGGTAATGTGGCACTTTTCCTCCAGATCCCACGTAGCAAATGCTGCCACATGGATGCCAGATGGGCTGTTTGCCAGGGAGCTGGAGGAGGAGGGAAAGCCCTGCTCCACCCTGCAAACACTGCCAAGGAAAAGCCGGCCAGGAAAGTATCAGGAAAAAACAGGGAATTGGTCAAAAATGGGGAAAATGTATCTGAAGTCATTGGGTGGAGGTTGAGCTGAGTTTACCTCTCAAAACCCAAGGCTCCTTAGCAATGCAGGGGAGGGAAGAGAAACACGGCTGGGAAAGCAGAGCTCCGGTAATTGGAATGTGGTACCACACAGCAACAAGTGACTGACTTTAAAGACACAGATAGATGAGTAACTTGGGTACTTTAATGTTTACAGGACTTGACTCTGACTTTATGATGCTGTAGCAATGTCAGTGTTATGTTTATGGAGGGCATTTTTCAAAGGCACTCAGCATCAGCCTGAGGAGCTATCTCACCTATAACTTCCTTGTCTTGTAAAACTTCTTTATTAGTAATAGAAGTACAAATAATTTCTGGTGTGTCTTTGGCAAAACAGGAACATCTGTTTAAGAGAAAGAAGAGTAAAATATGAGGAGAGAATTTTAGATGAAATCTGAATACCTGAGTTGAAGATAGCGTTAACTGCTGCCAAGTGGCAAACTGTTGGACTGAGAGAGTATAATTTTTCTTCCTCAATAACAATATGACCTCAGAATTTTTCTGAAGTAAATACTAAAGAATCATAGCCAAATCATATATATATATTTAAAAAGTCCAGTAAAAACATTCAGACAACTATATGCGCGCATACCCCAATTATTCAAGTACAGAAAGTATTAAGTTGGTTTGAGCATTTTCTTCCCAACCATTTAGACTGACTTCAAAAACATAACTAGTAACTGTCTTTAAAGGTTTCTTTTTAAAAGCTGCTGAATTTTGTCAGTGTTTTTGTTTGGTTTTTTTTCAGGGTTTTTCTCTGCAACAAAGTAGAGTTGACTAGAAAAAGTACCAAGTCTAATGTTCAGTGCAGGAAACGGTGGCTGGGATGAAATCCCTGCAAATGTGGTATCTGAACACACTTAATTGTTGTGCACTTTTCCTGCCTGGACTGGCAGTCAAAATAAAGAGGGCTGAGAAGGGCTTCAGCCCTGTACCTTTGGGAGGCACAGGGAGCATCCTGTGCCTGTGGGATGGGACGACTGCTAGGACCATTGCTCCCTCTCCTGCTCATGGATCTTATCCCAGATCAGGGATGCTTGTAAGGACAAACACACTTCATCTGACTGAAGCTGGATCAGTGTTTTTGGGTGTTGTCCATGTTGCAAAATGACTGTGGGATAAAATATGTACAATTTCTCCTATGGGCAGAAAGTGGGGTCTTGTGTTCAGTCTTTGCTGAAGCTGCAGTGAAGGCAATGAAGCAGCTGAAGATGAGAGGGGAAGCTCTGCTCAGTGTCTCATGGTCTTGCAGGCTGTTTTTCACACCTTGTACCGAATTAACAGCACACCTACCCTGAGGGAGGGGGAGACTTTGAGTGAGGAAGCTCATCTGGGCATCAAAGTAACATGACAAAACAGTGATGGAGGAATAGCAATAACTGATGCTTTTGCACATCCTTTCACTCTGTTTTTGGAGAAAAACCTACTATGCAAGTATTCTCAGATGGTATGCTGGTTTCTGTTGGAATAAATTGGTTGTCTCCGTTTGATCCTGAGTATTCTGATAAAAATAGCATGGTTTTGTACCTTATTAGAAACCTTGTCGAGTCCAAACCCTGATAGATTTTTGCTGCGTGTGAGGGATCACTGTAGGTCAGTGATGTATTGAGTACAGAGGCTCTCATGTCCACTGTGTAGGTGTCCTGCTGATAAACAGAGGGGTTTGTTTCTGGTGCTCTCAGGTTTCCACCTTCATTTTCCACTCTTCCACCAAGATCCATCAGTGCTTAGGAGAAAATTCATACTGTCTAATTTTAGATATTAAATCTGTATTCAATATTTGCTTCTGCCTGTAGCAAAGCACAAGCTCTTCTTGCTGCAGGTCCAGAAGCATTTCTTCAGTTGCAGAGTCAGCTTCTTGCTTAAGCCTAACTCTAGGTGTGCTGAAAGCACAGTGAAGAGTGCAGCTCTGCCACGTTTCAGCTAGGGCTCTTCCCTTTCCAGGGTTCTTACAGGGCAACTGGGCTCTAACCTGAGCATCTAAATCCAAACCCCTGTGGGTGCAGAGCCAGCCATTTCAGAGCAGTTCATTTTTGTAAGTATTTCTGTGATGAATCCTCAATGCAATCAAGGATTGAGAAAGAAATGAGCCAATGCCGTGGAAACATTTGTAAGTAGGCAAAGTTTCACACTGTGTTTGGGGTGAACCATAGGTTTCACAAGATGCCAAGTCAGTTGGAATCAGCTGTGTGATAACCTTCTGCCAACTGGGTCATTGCTTCTCCAGGCGTTTTGCACCGTTGGTTCTTGCAGCAGTAGTAGCCAACTCTTGTCAAATTAGGTGAGGTAGAGACCCTTCCTGAGGTTATTTGCTGTATCACATGAAGATAATTTAATGCTTAATTCATGGCAGAATGCAGGCTAACCTTTTTTGAGAGATTTTATCCTGAAAATGCACTTAGATCAGTTACTGCCTCGCATTCTCTGCTGCAGAAGAATGGGCATTATCTGACAGAGGGCATTAAAAATGGTGGCATTTCTTCATGGGGTTAGTTTAGAAACACGAATCGCAGCAAGAGCTGGCTGGAAGAAGATACCTTTGCAGTGAGGGTTGTTGTCTGTATCAGAATCATCAGAAATTCAGGAGAGTCGTGGCTGCCTGGGCAGCCCTGAGAGGCTTTGGACAATTTGCTGTGGCCACCTGTGGTTATTAGTTTAGAAAATGTGTCACTATTTTACTCTGGCATCTGTTCAAAGTACTAATTCTGTGGATCAGTGTCTTTCAGATGAAGAAAGTGAAACCCTTTTTTGCCCCTGGTGTCTGAGTAAATTGATATCAAATACTCTAATGAAAAGACAACTGTTGTCAGCAGAGGCAAGCAACAAGGAAATCTGGGACAGGAGGTAACTTCATGATGGATTCTACATCCTCAGGGACTTTCTGTGCTCTGAGGATTAATTTTCTATTACATCCACGTGTGGGGCTCTTCTTAAATACACTTCCACTAACAACTTAATACTTTTTTCAATTACTATATCATAAAGCCCTACAACTTTTTGTCATTCTGCTACTTAGAAGCCAACCCTTTTATCATTGTGATGGTTGTTGCCACCTTTTACTTTTCCTTAAATGAAGCATCTTTTTGCTGCCCCCTGAAGCCATGCTTTTGAAGAGAAAGGGTACTCTGCACAGGGAAAAAGCTCTTTGGGAATTGCACTTCTGCGGTGGCTTGCTAATGAACCCTCAGTTCTATGATAGCTGGCTTGGTCTCCTCCAAGTACACCTTACGGATTTGAGAAGCCTTTACCAGAAGTG